TAGAACTTGTCCGAGATCTTATCAATTCCAATGATCACACCAAGTTTCATCAGAATCAGTTGAAAACTGTAGCTTCAATCCTGCTCACGAACTATTTTTAACGTGTTTTTACAAAGTCAAGGGCAATAACTCAAAAACCATTCATCGAAAATGCGTCAAGTTAGAACTTGTCCGGTATCTTATCAATTCCAATGATCACACCAAGTTTCATCAGAATCGGTTGAAAACTGTAGCTTCAATCCTGCTCACGAACTATTTTTAACAAATTTCGACGCGTTTTAACAAAGTCAAGGGCAATAACTCAAAAACCATTCATCGAAAATGCATCAAGTTAGGACTTGTCCAAGATCTTATCAATTCCAATGATCACACCAAGTTTCATCAGAATCGGTTGAAAACTGTAGCTTCAATCCTGCTCACAAACTATTTTTAACAAATTTCGACGGGTTTTAACAAAGTCAAGGGCAATAACTCAAAAACCGTTGATCAAAAATGCATCAAGTTAGAACTTGTCCGAGATCTTATCAATTCCAATGATCACACCAAGTTTCATCAGAATCGGTTGAAAACTGTAGCTTCAATCCTGCTCACAAACTATTTTTAACAAATTTCAACGCGTTTTAACAAAGTCAAGGGCAATAACTCAAAAACCGTTCATCGAAAATGCGTCAAGTTAGAACTTGTCCGAGATCTTCTGAATTCCAATGATCACACCAAGTTTCATCAGAATCGGATGAAAACTGTAGCTTCAATCCTGCTCACAAACAATTTTTAACACATTTCAAGGCGTTCTAATTCAAGGGCAATATCTCAAAAACCGTTCATCGAAAATATGTCAAATTCGAACTTGACCGAGATCTTATCAATTTAAAGCATCACACCAAGTTTTATCAAAATCAGATAAAAACTGTAGTCTCTATAGTGCTCACAAGAAATGTTGACGGACGGACCGACGGACAGGGGCGACGACAATATACGACCACATATTCATGTGGGTGTATAAAAATCAGTTGAAAACTTTAGTCTCTATTGTGTTCACAAACAAATTTTGACGCGTTTTTCCTTAGTCTAGGGCAATAACTCTAAAACCGTTTATCGATAGAATGTCAACTTCGAACTTGACCAAGATCTCATCAATATAAATGATCACACCAAATTTCATTAAAATCAGATGAAAACTGTAGTATCTATTGTGTTCACAAACAAATGTTGACGGACCGACAGACTGGGGCGACAGCAATATACGTCCACATTTCGATGTGGGCGTAAAACAAAATCATCACTATGACAACATTTTCTTTTTTTTAGGTTAATGAAGGCTAATTCCTTTAACCCTTTTACTGTAATAATAATAATAATAATAACTTTATTTGGCAACCCATTTAGATAGAGGTCTAATTTTCAATAGGTCCCACTAAATACAAATTATATACAAGATTACAGAAAGAATAAAAATACAGAAAATAACATAAAACATATAAACATTTACAATGTAACATGAATGAGGAAAGAAATAACTAAGAATTATATACTAAGTTTATAATAAAAATGCAGAAAATTTCATAAAACATATATATACATTTACAATGCATCACGGATGTGGTGAAAAATATAAAAATGTAAACACTGTGTTTCTTATATGATATATATGATGGTATAAGTTAAGTAAAATGAAATGGTGAGAAAAACAAAAGGACTGGTTATAAATGCTATAGAATCAATTTATCAGTATTGTCAGTAAGAACAAACTTCTTCAGTTCTTGTTTAAATGTATATAAAGAAGGATTATGTTTTACAGTTTGTGGTAATGAATTCCAAAGTAAAGAAGCTGTATATTGAAATGTTCTCATCATAGCAGTTTTATTACATTTCGGTATGTCTAAAGTTCGGAGTGTTTCTGATCTCAGTGTCATACTGGCTTCCGTTAATTTGGATCTTTCCGTAAATTTTTATTGTATAAATATTCACGGTGTCCAGTTCAAAATATTTTGAATGTCATTATGCCACAATTATATCTAATACGTTGATACAGTGACAACCAATTTAAAATTTTGAATAATGGTGCCGAAGGTGAATCATGTTTTTCATCTAATATGCTCCTTGCAGCACGTTTTTGTAATTTGTATACAAACTCTAATTTACTTTTCATGGAATTACCCCAAACTGTAGAACAATAATCAAAAAATGGTAAAATATAACTATTATAAACCAATTTACGTAAGCTTAATGGAATGCATCTTTTAATTTGACTGAGAAGGAAAATTTCAGAACTTATAATTTTTGACAGTTTTTTTAATTTGGAAATCCCATTCAAGATGGTGGTCAATAGTGTAACGTCATAATGCCAGCCCTGTTTCATGCTGTGACGTTTTTATATCATGGGTTATGTTATAGACAGCGCAGGGGGAAAAATATTCACCTCACACATTTTCAACAACTTTTTCGTAGACAGTTGAATTATGTACACGAATATACAAAAAAAAAGATATATTATATGATGCCATAATGAAAATAATTCGACATAACTCTGATATAAGCATAATTTTGCTTTGACATCATTATATTGTCCAAATTAATAATGATCAGTGCATCAGTTATTTCCCTTTGAAGAGTATTTAATTGTATTTCAGGAAAACAAGAGTTGCCTCCCAGTTTAATTGCAACCAGTCAAAATTGCATTAGATTTTTTGTCTGTGCATGATGGCATTTTATAGCCAATACAGGACTGATGGACATTGGACAATGCGGGGAAGATGAGGGTTGTCAATTGTGTCAAGAAAGATAAAAAACTGATGTTTTATAGCAAGGAATTCCAACAAACACTAAGAAAGCAAAAAATGTAAGAGTCTTGCAATTTCTTTGTTTTACAATGATCTTAGAGATTTTGTTTCAAAAGAAAGGTACACAAATAACAAATAAAATGCAATTTTATTTGACTACAGAAGTAAAATGCAATGCAATAATCAACACAATCAATAATTTTCAATACAGAGTCAACAAATCCAATTTAAATCAAAAACATTTCACATTCATCCTATAAAGGTCAAATACCAACATGTATAAGCAACTTTAAAATAATCCGCAGCAAGAAATTCAATGCGTAAAAATATCTTACATTTTTTTAACAAGCAATTTAAAAATAAAAATGTCACAAAATCTGCAGCAAGAATTATAACAATACTGGTATGTTAAAAGTCTGTTAATTCTATTTGAAGTTATTCAATCCTATCAGCAAAATTCAAAGTATTACAATATCCACAGTTAGAGACACAATAGGTTATAAAATATCAAAAAAAGCTGATAATGAAACAATCAGGCATACAATGGGCAAATTGTAGTTTTCACAGTATCAGTTTGCTTGGTGACAATTTCCAGCTTCTCTATCACTACAAACTATACAATCTGGATGGTATTTCTTGTTCTCATATTTTGAAGGAAAATGTCTTGCCACTAAACGTTGTGCTCGTACTTGGATTTCCTTGATTTTGTTCTTGACGGGTAATCTTTTGTCGTGTGAAATCAAACTGTCAATAATGCATCTCCTAAATTTCACTTGATCCATTTTAATAGTAGGATTGTGTTCATGGAATTATATGAAAGCATTTACTAATGCGGTTTCTTTTATAAAATGATAAATCACCTGGTACCATTTTTGACACTTATGGGGGAATTGATAATATGCGCATAATTGGTCGAATCTGTCAACACCTCCCATGTATTTGTTATAGTCCTCTACTAAAACTGGTTTCCTGAGGTTTCTTACCCCTTCACCAATCTTATGTCTCACTTCCTTATTCACAACACTATTATCATGAACTGTTGATATCACAGTTACACGGGCTGTGTCCTGCCATGTTGTGAGTAATATATTGTCTTTCTCCCAAAAAACTGGACTGTCACCCTTTTTTAACTTTACAGTCTGTAAGTCCACTGGCAAACCTTTCCTGTTGGCACGTACCGTACCACAAGCTCCAATATTCTGATGAAGTAAATAATAAAACAGATTTGGATATGAAAAAAAATTATCCATAAAAACTTTATATCCATTTATATATCCATTAAAAGTTCTTTCACAACTGAAGAGCCAAGTTCATTTTCTCCACTCTCTATCTCTTTGCCAACATACACTTTCCACTTTAAATTAAAACCATTCACAGCATCACATAATGACCAAATCTTTAAACCCCATTTTTTCGGCTTGTTTGGCATATACTGTTTAAAGCTGACTCTGCCTTTAAATTTTCTTATGGTTTCATCTATGGACAAAAATTGATGTGACTGGTATACTCCAATATATGTATCTTGAACCAATGAAATTTCTGAGAGTGAAATTTTCATATTTCATGGGTTTTGTTTACAGCTTTTTTATTCAAGTGGGATTAATTTAACATGTCAAGTTTCATATAATCCATATAGAATTGAATCTTTTGAGTGGCAGCAAGTGGCAAATCATTATGTTAAGACAGTTATATATTTACGGACAGACAGACGCGACGACTATATACGCCCACATTAATGTGTGGGCGTATAAAAACTCTACCACAAGTTTCCAACATTGAAATTTAAGTTTTTAAGTTTTTATTATACAATCAATCAGAGATTTTATATATATAAGCCCATACACCTCTTACATATCTTCATCTTGTCAATAATAGCATCTTAGTTTTTCTACAATTTTTCTACGATTTCATGGGTGGTTTGTTTCTCTCACTTTTACTCTTAATTCTCACATTGTCATGTGAGCATACAACAAGTTGTCTTCTTAACTTATTCAACATTCTCTCCAATTTTCATGCCTACTTGAAAGTAAGCAAGTCATTGTATGGAAGGGAAAATAAACTATATAAAACTAACAAATAGCACAATTCAATAAGCATTCAAATATACCTGTTGGATGCATTGATTTATACCAGTAGCTATTTACCACTAGGACCAAAACAGCTGCATATCAACAAAATCAGTAAAGTAAATATGAGCAGTCCAATATTCTGATGACTTACCCTCATCGCTCTCTTCAATTCATATGCATCATACTCTGCTTTAGAATATAACAGACCAATCATGACATTTTCAAATCTACCACTTAGATCATTCCTTAAATCTTGCATCAAATCCTACAACGAAACACAGTGCAAATTAAAGGGACCAAAAAAGTCAATATTGCTCCATCTTAACAACTAGATGGTTTCCCCACATATGCTGGAATCTTTGATTTCAAATAAAACTAGAGTCACTCGTGGCACAGAGTGGGGCTTTACTAATGTACCAATTTGCTAGAGAATCTGTAAGAATCAACCTTCTAAGCTAATTAGGTCACGTGCTAAAGCTGTCAAAAGTTGCAAAAGAAAAACTCTTTTTTGGCTGTTTGTTAAACCGGAAGTAGAATTCAGACATTAAAAAATTGCCATGGTTATTAACAGAAGGTCACTAAAGGTCAAAGTCACAAGATATTAGTCATTAATCTTTCAAAAGTTGACATTGCACATAATATGATCATACATATATGGTCAAAAATCAAAAATATGAAAATTCTAAGGCCTGTTCCTCTTTTTTGAACTACAAAGCTGAAACAACTCATTTTCAAATAGCTGTAAAAATCGCACAACAAAAATGAGAATATATTTGAATAGGTCTTGTCATGCACAATAACTTTTGTTCTGGTCAAGAGGTCAACAAAAGTCAAATAAAGGAGATATGAGCCTTAAAAGTTTTCAAAATTGTTGTTTTCGGACGTCTGTAAAAGCGGAATTGTATGTCGGATAAAAAACATAAAAGTATGAATGGTCATCCTTGATCTGTGACCTTGAAAGGTCAAGGTCATGCACGTTAAAGGTAAAAAGTTATCATTTTAAAAATTGTAAATCATGTTATATTTTTCTTTAATCAAATTACCCAGAAAACCATCCCTTTCCAGGAACTGGTCAATTTAGTATCCTATATTGATGCAAAGATCAAAGGTTAAAAAAAGCATACTTTGTGAGTTATAAAAATTAATTTACGTCAGGTAATGTAAATTAAACCCGGATGTGCCATGCCAACTTATTACATTTATAAATTTCAAGCATCTACAATCATTAGATCAAGATATATTTGTTGTTTTATGTTAAAGCCTTTAGTTTATACGGCAAACACCGATTTACACAGTTACCATAGAAATCAGTACAAAATTTTCAATATAAGAAAACCACAATTTTTATCAAAATACCATGTGTGATATATAACCAAAGAGGGCAGATCGTCCACTTAAAGAATATAAAAGAAAGTTTGTCGTATTTTAATTAGGTCACGTGACAGAGTTATTCAAAGTTAAAAATCGCAATTTTCAAATGGCTGTAGAACCGGAAGTTAAGGTTGTACAACAACAATGAAAAGATCTTTGGATAGATCTCGTCTAAGGCAACAATTTTTGTGCTAGTTACCAAAGGTCAAGGTAACGAGATATGAGCCCTGAAAGTTTTGATCAATATTGAAAAAGATCAACCGAAAATAACTAAATATAGCTTGCCAGGCAAGGTAATATATGCCCACTGGCAGCTTTGATTTTTGAATAAAAAATACTTAGCAGTACAGTAACAATCACCAGTATGAAATATTCAACCTTCAGTCATACACTTCTTCTGAACTTTTTAGGACGATACTGAATAATATTGAGTATGAGTTATTGCCCTTGTTCTTGAAAACGTGTTCAACTTTTTAGCTCATGAAAACTTTAGAAGGCAAATATTCAATTTTCAGAGCGGGACTGAATAATAGAACCAAGTTTTGTCAAAATCCAGCAAGAATCATGCCTTTTAGTGTTTAAGAGCTAAATTTGAAAGCGTTTTCCAGAACAAGGGCAATAATTCATACTAAATATTTTTCAATTCTTCTGATTTTCAATAGGGTTCATCCTGGGGTGATTACGAATATTCACACCAAGTTTGATCAAAATCTGTCAAGAATTATCCCTTCTAGAGTCTTTGCAAGCTAAAAATTGAATGCGTTTTCAAGAACAAGGGCAATAACTCATACTAAATATTTTTCGATTCTTTTGATTTTCAAAAGGGTTCATCCTTGGGTGATTACGAACACTCACACCAAGTACGTCAAAATCTGTCAAGAATTGTGCCTTCTAGAGTGTTTACGAGCTAAAAATTGAATGCGTTTTCAAGAACAAGGGCAATAACTGAATGTATTTCGATTCTTCTGATTTTCCATAGGGTTCATCCTTGGGTGATTACGAACACTCATACCAAGTTTTGTCAAAATCCGTCAAGAATTGTGTCTTGTAGAGTGTTTACGAGCAATTGTGGACGGATGGACCGACATAGGGACATGGGTGACGGCAATATACCCCCCCCCCCCCCCATTTCAAGTGGTGATTATAAAAAGAAAAAATAGCTTGCCAGGCAAGGTAATATACGCCCACTGGCAGCTTTGATTTTAAATAAAAATATTTAGCAGTACAGTAACAATCAACAGTAAGAAATATTCAACCTGAATTATATTGAGTATGAGTTATTGCCCTTGTTCTTGAAAAAGTGTTCAATTTTTAGCTCGTGAAAACTCTAGAAAGCAAATATTCAATCTTCAGCACGGGACTGAATAATAAAACAATAAAAAAGTTTCGTCAAAATCCAGAAAGAATCATGCCTTTTAGTGTTTAAGAGCTAAATTTGAAAGTGTTTTCAAGAACAAGGGCAATAACTCATACTAAATATTTTTCAATTCTTCTGATTTTCTGTAGGGTTCATCCTTGGGTGATTACGAACATTCACACCCAGTTTCATCAAAATTCGTCAAGAATTGTGCCTTCTAGAGTGAATACGAGCTAAAAATTGAACGCTTTTTTTAAGAGCAAGGGCAATAACTAATACGAAATATTTTCAATTTTTCTGATTTTTAATAGGGTTCATCCTTGGGTGATAACAAACAATCATACAAAGTTTCGTCAAAATCAGTCAAGAATTGGCCCTTCTAGAGTGTTTACGAGCGATTGTGGACGGACATGGATGACGACAATATACGCCCACATTACATGTGGGCATATAAAAATGAAGATAGCTTGTCAGGCAAGGTAATGTATGCCCACTGGTAGCTTTGATTTTGAACATAAATATTTAGCAGTACAGTAAAAATCACCAGTATGAAATATTCAACCTTCAGTCATACACTTCATTTGAACTCTTTAGGGCGATACTGAATAATATTGAGTATGAGTTATTGCCCTAGTTCTTGAAAACGTGTTCAATTTTTAGCTCGTGAAAACTCTAGAAGACAAATATTCAATCTTCAGCGCAATAATGAATAATAAAACCAAGTTTTGTCAAAATTCGGCGAGAATCATGGCTTCTAGAGTTTTTATGAGCTACAAATTGAACGAGTTTTCAAGAACAAGTGCAATAACTCATACTAAATATTTTTCGATTTTTCTGATTTTCAATAGGCGTTATCCTTGGGTGATTAACAACACTCACACCAGGTTTCGTCAAAAAACATCAAGAATTGTGCCTTCTAGAGTGTTTACGAGCTAAAATTGAACGCGTTTTCAAGAACAAGGGCAATAACTCATACTAAATATTGTTCAATTTTTCTGATTTTCGATAGGGTTTATCCTTGGATGATTACTAACACTTATACCAAGTTTCATCAAAATCCGTCATGAATTGTGCCTTGTAGAGTGTTTACGAGCAATTGTGGACGGACCGACAAAAGGACGGACAGATGGACGGACCAACGGAATGAGATGACGGTAATATACGCCCCCCCATTTCATGTGGGCGTATAAAAATAATCTTGAAACTTCTTGAGGGTGAACTTTGGCCTTTGATTAAATCTACAACTTTAATTTGGAAAAAAAAAAATCTACTCACTCTGCCAAAACATGTTTTATACATCAGTTTAATATTTTGTCTTTGATCAGCCGTTCTGTATCCCAAAACATCTATGATAGCCCTCTCATCCGTACCTAGAAAAAATTCATTAGGTTTAAATTTCTTAATGTTATTCATCACTACTATTACCAAGATAACTTGCCAGGCATGATAAAATACGCCCACTGGCAGCTTTGATTTTGAATAAAAATATTTAGCAGTACAGTAACAATCACCAGTATGAAATATTCAACCTTCAGTCATACACTTCTTCTGAACTCTTTAAGGCGATACTACATAATATTGAGTATGAGTTATTGCCCTTGTTCTTGAAAACATGTTCAATTTTTAGCTTGTGAAAACTCTAGAAGACAAATATTCAATCTTCAGCACGGGACTGAATAATAAAACTCAAGTTTTGTCAAAATCCAGCAAGAATCATGCCTTTTAGTGTTTAAAAACTAAATTTGAAAGCGTTTTCAAGAACAAGGGCAATAACTCATACTAAATATTCTTCTGATTTTCAATAGGGTGATTACGAACATTTACACCAAGTTTCATCAATATTTTTCGATTTTTCTGATTTTCTATAAGGTTTACTCTTGGGTGATAACAACACTCATGCCAAGTTTCGTCAAAATCCATCAAGAATTGTCCCTTCTAGAGTGTTTACAAGCTAAAAATTGAACGCATTTTCAAGAACAAGGGCAATAACTCATACTCAATATTTTTCGATTCTTCTGATTTTCAATAGGGTTCATCCTTGGGTGATTACGAACACTCACACCAAGTTTCGACAAAATCTGTCAAGAATAGTGCCTTCTAGAGTGTTTACGAGCTAAAAATTGAACGCGTTTTCAAGAACAAGGGCAATAACTCATACTAAATATTTTTTTGATTTTTCTGATTTTCAATATGTTTCATTCTTGGTTGATAACAAACACTTATGCCAAGTTTCGTTAAAATCCATCAAAAATTGTGCCTTCTCGAGTGTTTAAGAACTAAATATTGAACGCGTTTTCAAGAACAAGGGCAATAACTTGTACTAAATATTTTCGATTCTTCTGATTTTCAATAGGATTCATCCTTGGGTGAACACTCATACCAAGTTTTGTCAAAATCTGTCAAGAATTGTGTCTTGTAGAGTGTTTATGAGCAATTGTGGATGGACCGACGGATGGTCGGTCGGTCGGACGGACAGACATGGGTGACGGCAATATACGCCCCCCATTTTATGTGGGCGTATAAAAAACAATACAAACAGAAAAACTCACCTGCTCCTTTCATTGACTTCCTTAGTACTTGAACATCATGTTCTACATTGAAATTGGGATTGGCTTTTAATGTTCCATCTTCCTATAATAAACCAATTCAAAGTATTTTTTACATCAGCAAATGTCATCAAATAAATAGTTTACATCTATACTTGTGTTCACCGCATAAGTTGAAGTGAAATATTTTAAAGATATTTACTATGGATCACAACCTCCTGACATGTTGATGTGATAAAGTATGATAATCCAAAATATTATTATTAGATCCACAAGCATTGGGTCTGGTTTTGAAGCAGTGCATAACAGTTTCAATTTTCTCAAAACATATTCCACAGATCGTTTTATCTCATATTTTGTTGGAAGATTGCTCAAATGCAAAGCATATTTAACAGATCGCTTAAACTCATATTATATTTCTAACAAAGTCAATTCACACTTAAATTCAAATATTTCAAAAATCTTCATTTCTTCATTACATGTGGGCATATAAAAAAAAGAAGATAGCTTGCCAGGCAAGGTAATATACGCCCACTGGCAGCTTTGATTTTGAACATAAATATTTAGTAGTACAGTAACAATCAACCTTCAGTCATACACTTCATTTGAACTCTTTAGGGCGATACTGAATAATATTGAGTATGAGTTATTGCCCTAGTTCTTGAAAACGTGTTCAATCTTTAGCTCGTGAATACTCTAGAAGACAAATATTCAATCTTCACCGCAATAATGAATAATAAAACCAAGTTTTGTCAAAATTCGGCAAGAATCATGCCTTCTAGAGTTTTTAAGAGCTACAAATTGAACGAGTTTTCAAGAACAAGTCCAATAACTCATACTAAATATTTTTCGATTTTTCTGATTTTCAATAGGCATTATCCTTGGGTGATTACCAACACTCACACCAAGTTTCGTCAAAATCCTTCAAGAATTGTGCCTTGAACACGTTTTCAAGAAGGGCAATAACTAAAACTAAATATTTTTCAAATTTTCTGATTTTCGATAGGGTTTATCTTTGGGTGATTACAAACACCCTCAACAAGTTTCGTCAAAATATATCAAGAATTGAGCCTTCTGGGGTGTTTACAAGCTAAAATTGAACGTGTTTTCAAGAACAAGGGCAATAACTCATAGTAAATATTTTTCAATTTTTCTGATTTTCAATAGGGTTCATCCTTGGACGGATGGACTGAAATGGGTGACGACAATATACGTCCCCCATTTCATGTGGGCGTATTAAAAATAAATGTAAAAAATCTGTATCAAATCGTACTAAAAATATAATTTGTACAAGATATTGTTGATTTAATCAAACACAAAATTTCGTAAAATTTTGACATAAACTTGACCAAGATCATTGTAATAGATGATCACACCAAATTACATTAAAATCAGATAAAAACTGTAAAAAAAAACAGCCTCTATTGTGTTCACAAGCCAATTGTAGACGGACTGATGGACAGACAGGGGCGACGACAATTTATGACCACATTATAATGTCTTCAATAAAAAAAATTGAACGAGTTTTCAAGAACAAGTGCAATAACTCATACTAAATAATTTTCGATTTTTCTGATTTCAATAGGGTTTATCCAAAGGTGGTAACCAACATTCATGCCAAGTTTCATTAAAATCTGTCAATAATTGTGCCTTCTAAAGTATTAACAAGCTAAAAGAATTGAAGGTAGTATACGCCCATTGGCAGCTTCGATTTTGAATAAAAATATTTAGCAGTACAGTAACAATCACGAGTATGAAATATTCAACCTTCAGTCATACACTTCTATTGAACTCTTTAGGGCGATACTGAATAATATTGAGTATGAGTTATTGCCCTTGTTCTTGAAAACGTGTTCAATCCTTAGCTCATGAAAACTCTAGAAGAAAAAAAATATTCAATTTTCAGCGCGGTATTGAATAACAAAACCAAGTTTTGTCAAAATCTGGCAAGAATCATGCCTTCTAGATTTTTACGAGCTACAAATTGAACAAGTTTTCAAGAACAATGGCAATAACTCATACTGAATATTTTTCAATTTTTCTGGTTTTCAATAGGCTTTATCCTTGGGTGATGACAAACACTCAAGCCAAGTTTCGTTTAAATCCGTCAAGAATTGTGCCTTCTAGAGTGTTGATGTATATCTGGATTATTAATGAGTAGCTCGATTGTGGTAAAGGGACATAAATCCAAGATGTAAAAGTTTAAAAATACGAAACAATTAGTTTCAGCTTTGTTTTTGGTTCTTTCATGTGTGATGATCGTGTTGTGATTTTAATTTGATAGTTCCTGATTAAATTTTGATTGTTGAATCAATTATGACTGTTTTATTTGATATGTGCACCATACAGACCCCAACATGGTGCCAACAGAGTTGTCTCCGATTCAAAATCAACAAATTTTAGATTGTTTATCAAATCTTAAAGATTTATTTGTAACAGAGGATAATCCTGGATTGGGCCTGACTCATCTTGTCCAACATAAAATTCAGTTAAAAGATAGTGCGATTTCTAAGCACCAAGGCCCTTATCGCTTACCTCCCAACAAAAAAGAAGTTTTAAGACATCAGTTAGATCAATTACTAGAACAGGGTATCATAACTCCAGTTTCAGGAACTGAGGAAGTACCTATAACCAGTCCTATTGTATTAGTTGCTAAGCGCAACAAGCCAAAATTAGATCCCAATAATATTACCAAGGAAACCAGTTTATCATCATATCGCTTTTGTTGTGATTTTCGATATCCAAGGAATTTCGTTATACAATTCCTGACTTACAAGATCTCACAGAATCTTTTTCAAAACACACTCCAAATTATATCACATCACTTGATTTGTCTTCTGGATTTTTTCAGTTGCCTATTTCAGAAGATTCTCAAAAATATACAGCTTTTAATACTTGTTATGGTACTTACAAATTTTTAGTTATATTGATAGTAATTCACACAACCATCAAAATGCTTTTGACATATTGATGCAAAAGTCACAGGTCAATTCGAAAGTGCCTTCCGGTTCCAAAATTGATGAAATGGCACCTAGATTTACTGGTAAGTACAAAAGTGTTTAAATTATTTATGGTGAGAATTTCCAAATAAATTAACTTCAAAATACACTTCTGGAGACAATTTACATATACTTATTCAAGGCCCAAATGTAGGCCTACTTCAAAATGCTGAACATATACCCATAAAAAGGAACTGTCAGATACTGGGATTTATGAATATTCCTTGGGGTAAATATGCACCAAACTTATGTTTTGAAATATTAATCTTTTTCAGCTAAACAAAAACTATTCAATGGGATAATTGACATGTTTATGGAATCTGGAGATAAGTTTCCAGTTGTGTTGTCAGACAAAGCCATTGGTGACCAGGTGATCATGCCGTTGACCAATGGAGTGTGGTATTTAAGTGGAAATATGGGAACGATTCAGGAACGAGCCAAACATTTGCCTGATGTTCATGTTATTCCTGCAAGGTACTGGTACTATAAAAGCTATGAAATTTTACATACAGTAATTTTGTCTGCCTGCCTTTGCAAATGGCAAGTCCATTCCGCCCCTTACTAATTTCTTTGTCTGAACCAAAGAGGCATCGTGTGTCTAATTCTAGTTTTAAGTTCTTCTGACAGAGATATTTAGGAATTAAGAATCAGTATGTGCATAATAGATACAAATTTTAGTTTCAATTTTGAAATGAACCATATTTGAAGATGTACATTTCATAGGCCTAAATGTATTTTAAAATATTTTGCAGGTTTCTTTCCTATGATAACATAAATGACTATAAGAAGAAAAAAGAAAGATAGCTTGCCAGGCAAGGTAACATATGCCCACTGGAAGCTGTCAGAAATGATTAAACAGTCTTTAGTGACTACAGGGTTGCACAATATAGCTAATAGAGTGAAACGTCAAGTCAGACACGATATTTTGGTGAAAATCGATAGGGATCATCTTCATAATGACATTGACATACAAAATAAAAATCAAAAGAATCTGTAAAGAATTGTAGCCTGTAGAGTGAGCATGAGTTGCACAATATAGCTAATAGAGTAAAACGTCAGGTCAGACACGATATTTCGGTGAAAAATTATCCGATCATCACGAAAATCAATAGGGATCATCTTCATAATGACATTGACACACAAAATAAAAATCAAAAGAATCTGTAAAAAATTGTAGCCTGTAGAGTGAGCACGAGTTGCACAATATAGCTAATAGAGAAAAACGTCAAGTCAGACACGATATTTCGGTGAAAAATTATCCGATCATCACGAAAATCAATAGGGATCATCTTCATAATGACATTGACACACAAAATAAAAATCAAATCAATCTGTAAAAAATTGTAGCCTGTAGAGTGAGCACGAGTTGCACAATATAGCTAATAGAGAAAAACGTCAAGTCAGACACGATATTTCGGTGAAAAATTATCTGATCATCACGAAAATCAATAGGGATCATCTTCATAATGACAATGACACACAAAATAAAAATCAAAAGAATCTGTAAAAAATTGTAGCCTGTAGAGTGAGCACGAGTTGCACAATATAGCTAATAGAGAAAAACGTCAAGTCAGACACGATATTTCGGTGAAAAATCATCCGATCATCACGAAAATCAATAGGGATCATCTTCATAACGACATTGACACACAAAATAAAAATCAAGAGAATCCATAAAGAACTGTAGCCTGTAGAGTGAGCACGAGCCAAATGTGAACGGACGGACCGACAGACCGACGGGGTGATTACAATATACGCCCATCTCACGTGTGGGCGTATAAAAAAGGGCAATAACTCATACCAAATATTTTTCGATTTTTCTGATTTTCAATAGGGTTTATCCTTGGATGATAACAAACACTCATGCCAAGTTTCGTCAAAATCCATCAAGAATTGTCCCTTCTAGAGCGTTTACGAGCTAAAGATTGAACGCGTTTTAAAGAACAAGGGCAATAACTCATACTAAATATTTTTTGATTTTTCTGATTCTCAATAGGGTTCATCCTTGGGTTATCAAAGACATGCCAAGTTTTGTCAAAATCCGTCACGAATTGTGCCTTCTAGAGTTTTTACGAGCTTATTATTGAATGCGTTTTCAGGAACAAGGGCAATAACTCATACTCAATATTTTTCGATTCTTCTTATTTTCAATAGGGTTCATCCACTAATATTTAGCAATATTGAAACCTCCTGGGTTGAGTTCATTCAATCCATACGGCCATACAAGTCTAGTCTATGAATCCACAGAGTTTCTGCACTGTCTAATTTGCTTTTGCTTTCATTTGGAATTTTCTCAAGAAGTGTGCATTAAGTGTGTATTGGTGATTGTGTTAGTTGTGTTCATCCCACACTTTTAGAAATATTCACATTTTCTACACACTGTTTTAATTTGTTTTCCCTTAATAAATTTCCCAAGGTCCTATTCCTGCGTCCTGCCACAATGATTTTCCTTGTGTTTAATATGTCCGTCATTCTGTAGCTTGTCCTTTTAATGGCCGTGTCTTTGGCCATTCTGTGTAGATTTGGTTGTCGTGGGTCATAGGTTCATTTTCTTTTCATCTTCTTCTGCTTGGTGTTGGGGAAATAGCAGTTGAAGGCGTGATCTTTCCCTTGCTTTGCTAAAGGTAGTTTCTACAATGTGGTCTTTATATCCAGAATTCTTCAGATGTTTAGCAAATTGAAATAATCTATTGTTTTCCCATTCTTTCTTACTACAAATTCTTCGTATTCTGAGTGCACCACTAAAAGGTATTGATTTAAAAATATGTCTAGGATGGCAGCTGCTAGGTGGTAGATAGTGGTGGCTAGCTGTTTCTTTACAGAATAGATCAGTTTCTAATCTGTTACCCTCTTTAATTACTTTTACATCTAAAAAATTGACTTTATCTGTGTCAATATCCATTGTAAATTTAATTTTGGGGTGAAGATTATTCAATTTGTGTAAAAATTTGTGAGATTCTTCTGGTGATTTAGTAGACTGAGCCCAAATGTCATCAATAAATCTACAGGATATGTCTGGTTTTTCAGATAAAAAATTCCAAAATTTATTCATCCAATAGGTCATATAGTTATTGGCATATGTAACTGCAAAGGGTGTCCCCATAGATGTCCCAGATATCTGTCTGAAGAAGCTCCACTTGAATTCAAATTCATTGTTGTGCAGAACAAAGTCTGCAACTTGTAGAATGCTATTAGTTTCTTCTAGACTGATGTTGTTCGTTTTCTCCAGAGCATCTTTCAAAGCATCAAGACCTTCAGATATAATGAAGGCTAAAAACATCAAGAGTAAGTAGGTGACTATCTTCTGGTATACAACAGTTGTTGAGAGATTGGATTTTTTGTAGAAAATGAGTGGTGTCTCTGACAACTTCATGACAGTAATCCTGAGCTACCTCTTTTAATTTCCAGTCAAGCCATTGAGATGCCTTATATGTAGGAGCTGCTATCTGACTACATATGGGTCTGCCAGGTGGAATTTCTGATGTAGTTTAACTTTATGTACTTTGCCAAGAACGTAAAAGTGGGCTGATGTCTTTACTGGTCTATGGAGGATAGCTTCCTTCTCTTTATCATCAATTTTCAATGATCAACTGAAAAATTAGTACGTCTGCCATTACCATGTTGACCTGGATTAGTATCACTGCCTCGTCTCCTGGAGTTTGGTTGCGGCCATCTCGATTTGCGAAGACCGTGTCTCTTTCTTCTGTAGTTGTATGCTGAAAAATGGCCTTTAGCTGTTTCTTCATATTCTCATATGTCAGTTCATCAATAGTGCTCTGGCAAGCTGCTCTTTTTCCTCAGTAACAATAATAATAATAAACTCTTTATTTTACATGGATCAGAATTGGGCCACAAGGACATGGTCCTGTCTAACATTCAGCCCATGGAAACAATATAATGAATGAATAAAAAAAAAAACCCAAAAAACAAAAAAATACACAATACCTGGATGGACAACCTCTTTAACAAATACACAAGTACATGTGTATTAAATGGACAGACTACGTTGCTGTGATCAAGTACATGACCACAAAAGATGTAGAAGCCATCACAATTTAACAGATATATGTAAGAAGATGTAAAGGTACCGAAATACATATACATTCATATGAAAGGAAAAAAAAAACAAACTAGAACCGTGGATGGTACCCATGCAGTGCATGTCCGACCTGATAAATTGGTGAAACATTTAAAGTCGTAGTGGGATTTTTAACCAAAATGAAAGACATGTTAACATTAGGTAGTAAATATTTGATAAACCACTTAACATTCGGTAGTAAATTAATTCGATAACATTCGGTAGTACTTGCTGTTTTCGGACAGCTGTAAAAGCGGAAGTTTACGTCAAAGATCAAAGTCTGAATGGACATCCTAGATCAATGGCCTTTGATCTTGCAAAGGTCAAGGTTATCCATGTAAAGGGTAAAAAAATAAAATTTTGTAAATTATAAAACCTTTTTAGCTAAATGAAAGACCCAGACAACTGTGCCTTAATCAGGAAATTGCAAAAGGAGTATCCTATTTTGATGCAAAGTTTAAAGGTTGAGAAAGGCATACTATGTGAGTTATAAGAAATTTCAATTACATTTTCAAATGGCTCAAGAACCGGAAGTTAACATCATTTGCCAAAAGTAAATATAGAAGTGGGGGTGTCCAGGTTTAGATTTTGTCATTGATCCCATGTGGTTGGAAAGTTTTCAATCTGATAATCCAATGGAGTTCAATGGAGGGCCTATTGGCTGTGGATTGTGTTAGGTACAGGTTGGTGCTGAGTCAATTGATTATTTGGTAGTCGAGATTTCGACTGGAGTGTCTCGGTAAATGGCAGTGAGAGGCGACTTGTGTGTCTCTCTTAAGATAGATAGGTTCACCTCTTTGGCATTAGCTTTTGCAGACTGAATGGTGGAAAAGTACACTCTTTGTCTTTCAGCCGGTGGATTATCTTCCATCAGGGTGGTTAAAGATTTCGAGTATTAAAAGAGACTGCGTGCGAGAGTCACAGATCTAAAAAAAAAATACACTAGCATACTAAGTTTTTTAATCTGATAAAAACTTTGTGTCCACAAATGTGGGTCAAAGTTGGCAATATATGTCCACATAAAAAATATACACAAAAAAACATACCTTAGGGTGATAAGATGATGGTCCTGAAGATGGTGGTCCTCCATAACCTGCAGAATTGCCAGGAACAGATGAATAACCAGAATTGATATCAGGTTGACCATATCCAAAATAGCCTCCTGGAGAACCACCAGGGGGAGCTTTACCATATCCAATTGGGTCATTGCCAACTGATGGTTGTCCATAACTTCCAGGAACTCCAGGTGATTGTCCATATCCAGCTGCTTGTTGTCCTTGCCTCGGAGTACTTTCAGCTGGAGGTTGCCAATATCCAGGTGCACTACCTGCAGGTGGTTTTCCATATCCTCCAGGTGGTTGTCCATATCCAGATGCAGTACCTGCAGGTGGTTGTCCATATCCAGGTGCAGGACCAGCTGGTGGTTGTCCATATCCTCCAGGGGCATTACTAACTGGAGGTCCATATCCTGTTTGAGGTGGATATCCAGCCTGTGGGTAATTTGGTGCACCAATGGGTTGAGTATATCCACTACTAGCTGGAGGATATTCTGGATTACCGCCATAGTTCTGGAAAAAAACAACAAGTAAATAATATAAAAATAGCTTGCCAGGCAATGTAATAGACACCCACTGCCAGTTTTGATTTCAAATATAAATATTTCGCAATGCAATAATAATCACCAGTATAAAATATTCAACCTTCAGTCAGATCATACTATTTGGGGTGATAATGAAAAATATTACAATTTTTTTTTCAAAATCCAGCAAGAATTTTCCTTTGAGTTAAAAAGCTAAAAGCTAAAAATTGAATGCGTATTCCAGAACAAGAGCAAATAAAAATGCGAACAGCTCCAAACTGGCACAAGACCTATGGCTTTTGGACCTTTTGAAAGTTTAGTCTGTTAGCTTTCAACTCCTGGTACTATAAAGACTTCCATTAGTGAACTAGAAATTGCTAAATCTGCAGCTAAGTTGCCAGCTATTGCTGCCACAACCCACTGCTGGTCTGCTTGTGAAGACAATAAACACCCCCATTTCATGCGGGTGTATAAAAACAGCTTACCATTAGTGAACAAGAAATCAAAACTGGAATAATTGGGAAAAGCCTTGAAGTATTAACGTTATAAAACTTTATTTTTAATACCAATTTTCAATGTAAGTCTTTAACCTTGTATCAATTGATATTGTCAATCCGTTTGGGCTCATTCTCATTAGTACTAATGCAAATTTTAGCTACTATTTCCCTCCGTCATTGGGTCTTATTTTCTTTCCGGCTTAATGTACTGACTGGGAAAAACGAGAAGCAGATGCTGATTAACATATTGCATATCTACAGTGGCTTAACTACCATAAGGACTGGTTGAACTAGACAAAAAGTACCACTAAGTATCTAAAAGGTTAACACACAATTTAAGTGGTTCACAACTTATACTGGGGTCCTACCAATGGCAATGTTATATACATTCACAAAAAAATAATAAACTAGATCCACAGGCTTCGCGTGGTTCTGAAGCAGTGCGTAACAGTTTTGATTTTACGCTTAAAACTGTGCCGCAAAGTATCGTAACACTAACATAATTTCCTATCATAATTAACTGGATAAAGAACGCCCAAACGCAAAGCATATTCGACAGATCTCTTCAAAATATCTCAATAAATATTACTTAAACTACTGTTCTCAACAACAGTTGAAGGGAGTAAACTCCGACAAAGAACCTTTATCTTTTAGACCACAAAAGACTGACAAAAATAACTCACTCTTTTCAAGATAAAAATTCATCAATTTCAAATGAAACAAACACCATACAATAAACGTTAATATACCATTGGATAGATCTCGTCGAGAGCTATCAAAATTGTTCGGGTCACATGATCACCAAAGGTCAAAGTCACAATATACGACCCTTCAAAGTATTCATATTTTTCAACCGGAAATAAATAAAAAGCAAAATTCAAAAATCGGTTCTCAAATATTATTAAGCAATTGATAGTAGATACCATAGACATCAAATTTACACAAATTGGATTACCCCCTTAGACCCCATTTCGATTTAAAGAAAAACATGCATAGTTACTATAGAAGAAAGTACAAAATTTTCAAATATTAAAAAGCGCAATTTTGATTGAAATATGTAGTGTAATATATCATTAGAAAGGGCAGATGAACACTAGTAAGATTTAATAAGAATTTTTTGTGTATGTAAATTAGGTCGCGTGACAGAGCTCTTTAAAGATAAAAATCATAGTTTTCAATCGACTATAAAACCGGAAGTAGACATTGCACAGCACAAATGAGTATATCACTGGATAGATATCATCAAGGGCAACACATTTTGTTCAGGCCACAAGGTCACCAAAGGTCAAGGTCACGAAATAAGAGCCTTTGAAGTTTTGGGCAATACTGAACAATTTTAAATGGATATAAAAGAAAAGCAAAATTGAAATTCAAAAATCGGCTTCCAAATTTCTTTTTGCAATCGATTGTGATATCCAGATATACCAAAATTATGAAAGCTCTCTATACCCTGAGGCCCCATTTTGAATTTTACAAAAGTTTGAAATATCAATATGGCGGCTACTGTTACTTCGGGGTAGGATTTTATGATTAGAAGTTTTTTGTATGACCATTTGTAACATATTGCAAAAAGAATTTTCTTTTTTGAAATTCCGGAAGTTGAATTTTATATTTTACAAGAGAATAGCGTCAAAACCGGAAGTGGTATCAAAATTCCGAAAATTAGTTTTTGTTCGCAATAAAAGTGTCTTTCCCTCTGCAAATTAGAAAAAAGTTTTAAAAACTAAATTTTATTAAGCTAGATTTTTTCAATTGCTATCCTGTAATCATTAGCGAGAAGTAATAAACAGTAAAGTTTGAGCAAATTCAGATCGGTACTTGTTCTGATAAATGGAAAAATTGAAAAAAAGCCATTGTCCACCGCTCATTTTCGGTTGGTCAAAATGATGCCATTTTACATTTAACAAATAATGGACCACAATTTTGACTAGAAAACAGCAACAGACAGTCTGTGGCATATTTCCTTCTTAGAAAACAAGCGAAGGTAAAATTCGAAAAGAAAAAAAAAAATGTCATTTGCAAAACAAAGCAATAAATTAGAGCCACATGTGGCACAGAGTGGGACTTTGCAAATGTAGCAATTTGCAAAAAACCATGAAAAAAGCAACCTTCTATGATAATTAGGTCAAATGCAAGAACAGTCTAAAGTTGAGAAATTTTTTAGAATATACTAATACCGGAAGTGTATACCGGAAGTAGACATCACACCTCACAAATGAAAGTATCAGCTGATAGCCAAGGTCAATGACCTTTGATCTTGTAAAGGAGAAGGTCTAAAAAGTTCAAGATCACGAGATATCAGTCATCAATTTTCAAATTGCATACGACTATAAAACCGGAAGTTGACATAGGATAGCAAATATAAAAGTATAAATAGATAGCCAATGCCATTTGATCCTACAAAAGTCAAGGTCAACAAACGTCAAGGTCAAAATTTGAAAACTTGAATTTCCAAAACCTGTTCCCTTTTTTGAACTATGAAGGGGAAAACAACTGATTTTCTAAGATAAAGTGGCTCAAAACATGAGGTATGCAAAGTTCCATTTTGAACAAATGAATACTTTGTGAATTATGCCTCTGGCCAAAAATGTCAATAATGAGTAATTTTACCCGGATGTGCCACACCCACCTCAATTTTTTTTGCATAGGTTAATTGATATTCCAAATGTTATGTTGTGTTCCAAATTTCAAACTTCTATATGATACAGGTCAAAAGATATAGGTCAACAAAATTCAACAAAGGTCAAAATCGAAAAATGAAAATATCCAAATGTTAAAACCCGTTCCTTTTTTGGAACTATAAAGCTGAAACAACAGAGCTGTTAACACAAACTGGCCAAAAGGATGCTCCTGCCTCTAAATGTAAAGAATTAGTAATTCAACCCGGATGTGCCACGCTCACATCAATTTTTTTGTCATATGTGAATTCATATTCAAAGTGTCTAGTTGTATTCCAAATATCAAGGTTCTACATCAAATAGATCATAAGATATGCATACACCAAGCTCAAAGAGACACAAATATTGTAAAAAAAAAAACTCAAATTTGAAAAAATCACAAATTTCAATTTTGCTTAAAAAAAACGATTGTTATATATCTATGTAAAGTGCATGAGAAGCACATTAGGAAACCAAAAAATATTAAGGGCCGTATTTTCAAAAAATGGTTAAATTAATCACTTACTATGCCTAGTTACTGACTAGTTAACCAGTGAGTTCAGATTCTTAAAAGGATTATTAGTGATTTAGCAAATGGTTAAATCCATGACTTCGTAACCATTGACTAGTCATATATTTTTGTTAATTACATAAACGACAACAAGTCTTGGTTGTCATGCCTGTTTTTTTAATGGAAGAAGCAATGGAAAACTTCAGTCTAGGATGAAAGAGACTACTGTCTAAACATAACAGGGGAAAACTGATAACTCAGTTAGTAGAAACACATGAATTATTGACTTTAATATGTCATTATATAATTTTGCAGTCGATAAGACTTAATTAGAGCTTACACATAAACTTGTTCCAATATTCCATTAACCGCCCCAGTCCCCAGACAAGTCCAAAAATAATTTTGTTTTAGGCTAACTCTCTAGCTATATATTTCACAGCAGCAAGAGATCAGTTGGATGTTTTGGGAGCTAATTATTTTTGTAGGGTAATAAATTTGTGAAAGTTCCTGAAAATGAGCTAAAATTACTGGTAAAATGCATGCAATATTTCCTTTGAAATAGAAATGAAATGAATGGAGTTTTACGTCCTACTTTTCTGCACCATGTGGGCTAATGAAGACGGGTCCTTTGAAATAGAACATAAGGAAATAAGAGTAGATGCGTATCTATAGAGATGGTTTAATTCATTTTTACCTAATTTCAGAATTACTTATGAATTTCTTTTAAATTTCTACGACCACTCAAAAACAATATTGTAGGTTTTAAAAGGGAAATCATGAAACGTCCCCGCTTAGGATTTGTTTTTGGAGCTAGAAAATTCTATGACTCACTCTTATTGTGACACAGCTTTTGAATTGGAGGTTATAAGATAGCTTGCGTGGCAAGGTAACATACGCCCACTGGCAGCTGTCCGAAATGATAAAACAGTCTTTAGTGACTAAAGTACAAATTTTCTCATATTGAAGAAATATTATTAGTTTGAATTCAATTACATATATATATATATGCCAGTTATTAATGGTGATTAATTCCACAAAATTTTTAAAAATCAATATCAATAACCCAAATACTACAAACAATTAAATCACACAGCTCTAATCAAGGGCAAAAAACAACAAAGTCAAGTGCAATAACTCAAAACCGTTCATCGAAAATTCGTCAAGTAAGAACTTGTCTGAGATCGTATCAATTCCAATGATCACACCAAGTTTCATCAGAATCGGTTGAAAACTGTAGCTTCAATCCTGCTCACAAACTATTTTTAACAAATTTCGACGCATTTTAACAAAGTCAAGGGCAATAACTCAAAAACCATTTATCGAAATGCATCAAGTTAGAACTTGTCTGAGATCTTATCGATTCCAGTGATCACACCAAGTTTCATTAGAATCGATTGAAAACTGTAGCTTCAATCCTGCTCACGAACTATTTTTAACAAATTTCGACGCGTTTTAACAAAGTCAAGGGCAATATCTCAAAAATCGTTCATCGAAAATATGTCATATTCAAACTTGACCAAGATCTTATCAATCTAAAGCATCACACCAAGTTTTATCAAAATCAGATGAAAACTGTGCTATAGTGCTCACAGGAACCGTAATTTTTGTTTTGTTCATTACTTTAAACTAATGACTAAAAGATAGCACTTTATAAAATTTCAGATTTTGACTTTTGTCGCTGACTTTTTTTGTTTTAATTTTAGCGTTTTTTCAACTTCTACAATTTTTTTTCAATCGGTCTAAAAATTTAATAGTAGATAAGCATTTTGATTCCTGACAAAAATCTATTTTCAAAATTTCGATATCACTTCCGGTTTTGACGCCATTCGCCTCTAAACTTAAAATTTCAACTTCCGGAATTTTGTAGGTATTTGAAAAATTCTTTTTGCAATTAATTAAAATTGTCCCTATAACAATTTTAGAATGAAAAGATAGCTTGCGTTGCAAGGTCACATACGCCCACTGGCAGCTGTCAGAAATAATAAAACAGTCTTTAGTGACTAAAGTACAAATTTTCTCATATTGAAGAAATTATTTATGCTGAATAATTCCACAAATTTTTTAAAATCAATATCAATAACCCAAATACAACAAACAATTAAATCAAACAGCTCTAATCAAGGGCAAAAAACAACTTTTGACGCATGTTTACAAAGTCAAGGGCAATAACTCAAAAAAAGTTCATCAAAAATATCTCTTGTAAGAACTTGTCTGAGATCTTATCAATTCCAATGATCACACCAAGTTTCATCAGAATCGGTTGAAAACTGTGATCAATGATCACACCAAGTTTCATCAGAATCGGTTGAAAACTGTAGCTCCTATTGTGCTCACGAATAAATTTTGGACGCGTTTTTACAATGTCAAGGGCAATAACTCGAAAACCGTACATCAAAAATGCATCAAGTTAGAACTTGTACGAGATCTTATTAATTCCAATGATCACAACAAGTTTCATCAGAATCGGTTGAAAACTGTAGCTTCAATCCTGCTCACAAACTATTTCCACGCATTTTGACAAAGTCAAGGGCAATAACTCAAATAGAGAAAAACACGATATTTCAGTAAAAAATTATCCGATTATCACGAAAATCAATAGGGATCATCTTCATAATGACATTGACACAAAATAAAAATCAAAAGAATCTGTAAAGAATTGTAGCCTGTAGAGTGAGCACGAGTTGCACAATATAGCTAATAGATAAAAACGTCAAGTCAGACACGATATTTCGGTGAAAAATTATCTGATCATCACGAAAATCAATAGGGATCATCTTCATAATGACATTGACACACAAAATA